TGCATAATCTGCATGTTTGTTTGTGATAGTATCATAGTATGAATGTCAGGTACATGCACAGTATAAGCCATGGTGTTTGGTAAATTTGTATTGAAAAACCATGCACCAAACTACTTCTTCGAGGCGTTTCATGATGAAATAACACAATCTACATGTACTTGTGGGAGAGATTGATCATATCAAGTTAAAGCACAACATCACACTCAATCCAGGCATACATGTAGCATGATAACTTACCAAAATATCAATCACAGAGTGAAATATGTCTTTAAAAATGTATGAAATTAAGAGATAAACCTGACCTCTTTTCTTTTAGACCTTGACAAATTTAATATACATTTTTGAAGCTCAGAGATGAATTGTGTTATGTATTGATAATCTCTATCCTCCACAAGTGTACTGACTTCCTCTCAATCAACAATGTGTTCAGAAACCCATTAAATATCAATGCGTTTGGTATAGACTGCATTTGTATTTCCAATTCGCTTACGGAAATTGACCACACTGACGAGCTCAATCAAATTTGCATTAACCAATGCATGGGTTTTCCATTCATCTTGAACCTGAATATTTTGGAGGATGATTGGTGAATTCACCAAGGCCAAGCCTAAAGTACATGACACCCTCCATTTACCAACCAAATTGCATAAATCATGTTAATTTGATCTTTTATATATTTTTACCTCGATTATCTGTTTTTCCAGTACACCGCTTGATTTGTTGCCCTATGGAAACCTGTTAGTTGACAAACCTTGAAATATGAAAATAATGAAGAAAAAAAAATCATAAAATGATTATAATTTCACTGCGCTGTTAATGTCTCATCCTCAGCAAAGTAAATATGTTCAATGCAAAGCACTGGCCATCCAATCCCACTAGCCACACAAGGTCAATCGTTGGGGGTCGCCGCTGTAGAGTACAGGAATGCTTATTGTGTAAATTGGATACATTAGTGCAGTTCTGTGGAAGTATTAGATGCATTCATGGTAAAGAATTACAAAAATGACCGAAATGACAAGAAGCGTTCATGCAGTATTGATCTAAGTTATGAGTCAGCACCTAATGTGTTTTAAGCTTTCAGCTCCTCTTCCCATCTTCTCTCCTCACTCTTTCCCCCTTCCCCTTCTCTCCTCACTCTTCCCCTTCTCTCCTCAATCTTCCCCCTTCTCTCCTCACTCTTTCCCCTTCTCTCCTCAAGCTTCCCCCTTCTCTCCTCACTCTTCCCCTTCTCTCCTTTTTCCCCTTCTCTCGTCTTTCCCCTTCTCTCCTTGCTTTTTCCCCTACTCTCCTCGCTCTTTCCCCTTCTCTCCTCTTTCCCCTTCTCTCCTCTTTCCCCTTCTCTCTTCCCCTTCTCTCTTCCCCTTCTCTCTTTCCCCTTCTCTCTTCCCCTTCTCTCTTTCCCCTTCTCTCTTCCCCTTCTCTATTTCCCCTACTCTCCTCTGTCTCCTTCTCTCCACGCTCTTTCTCCTACTCTCTTTTCTCTTATTCCCCTTCTCTCCTTTTCCCCCTTCTTTCTTTCCCCTTCTCTCCTTTTTCCCCTTCTCTCTTTCCCTTTCTTTCTTTCCCCTTCTCTCTTCCCCTACTCTCATCCCCTTCTCTTTCTTCTTCTCTCCTTGCTTTTTCCCCTACTCTCTGCACTCTTCCCCTTCTCTCCTCTTTCTCCTCTCTTCCCCTTCTCTCTTTCCTCTACTCTCCTCTGTCCCCTTCTCTCCTCGTTTCTCCTACTCTCTTTCCCCTTCTCTCTTTCCCCTTCTCTCTCTTTCCCCTTCTCTTTCCCCTTCTCTCTTTCCCCTTATCTCTTTTTTCCCCTTCTCTCTTTCCCTTTCTCTCTTTCCCTTTTTCTCTTTCCCTTTCTCTCTTCCCCTTCTCTATTTCCCTTCTCTCTTTCCCCTACTCTCCTCTGTCCCCTTCTCTTCTCTTTCCCCTCCTCTCCTCTGTCCCCTTCTCTCCTCTGTCCACTTCTTTCTTTTTTCCCCTTCTCTCCTCTTTCACCTTCTATCATACACTGTAGGCTTGTAAGCTTACACAGAGTGTATCATGATTTCCCCTGTGTCTAATATGGTGAATTGCCGTTTGGTCTACAACCACTACCCAAATAGTCTTATTCCCATACGGTCTATACGCTCTATTATCTGCATAGTCTCATAATCATTTCATCTACTTATCATTTTGTCTACTGACCAATTAGGCTAATAGTCATTGGTCTATTCTCCAAAAGTCAACTACTATTTGGTCTATCACTCATTTGGTCTAATTGCCCTTTAGTCTTGTATAGTAATAATTTAATCATGAATATTGATAAGCATCACATTTTGCATTTTTTATATCCAAATTGTTTTTTATCCCTTTTGTGAATATGCAAGTAAGTTATGTCTTACAAGTGTATGTTAATTTGTTCCCTTTCTCGCTCTCTCTCTCTCATGAGCTTTAAAAGGACAATCCATTGCTAAACTATGCATACCAATGCTGCATTGTAAAGTGTTCAATGAATGCCTTCCCCTTCTTAACTCTCTTTAAATTCTGTTTTCAAGAAAATTATCCCTTTTTTAACAAACATCCCAATCTAATTATAGTAGGTCTATTAATATTCTTTTGATCTTGGGATACTTGGAAAGTGAAAAATTGGAATATTAATGGCAAACCTTTGTGTTCATTCAATTTGTAATTGGATGTACTTCTATGATAGTCTTAACTGCACTTACATGTTTTTATAAACATGTATCCCTCTTGTTTTTCTCTTCTCTTTCTTTCGCATACTGATTTTGAAGCTCCTAGCCTTTCCTATCTCAGTCTTATAATCTCAGTCATTCTCGCTCCATTAATCACCTCCCAATTAACCTACTTAGCCTGCTATTGGGTATCATCTGTCTTGTCTATTTTTAATATTTTTACATATTTTTTTTTCCTCTCCCCTTTGTCATATTTTCTGCTGTAGCCTCTGGCACCGAATCCAGCTTCCCTTTTCTACAGAGCTTGAAGGTTTTCTTATCTCCTGCTTTAAAAAAAAAAATTTATGTGCTTCTCTCTCCGATATTTCCGTATTTTACTCTCTATCTCTCTGTTCCACTCCTTGGCTATTTATTACCATTTTCTTTTAAATGAACTAGAAATTTGTGTTGCCTTAACCCGCTTGGCTAAAACTCCCCCCTTCCCCTCTCCCTCCCTCTCTCTCCCCCTCTCCCTCCCTCTCTCTGTCCCTCTCTCTGTCCCTTTTCATCTGTATCCATATAGTGTCATTAAAACAAACCACTCCAATTACTTGTCCAGATAATTCTCTAAGACAGGGATTGAATCTGGTTAATGGTGTCTAAAAGCCCGGACTGGACGAAGCAAGCGAGCGGAAAATTTCACCCCTCCAAGCCGGAGGGGAAATATTGATGCATTAATTTTGTTTTAATGGACTCTGTGAAAAGCTGACGACCCTGCCATAGCTTTAATATGCTTATGAATTCTTATGGGCTTAGCAAGAGGATTTGTTATGGAGATCAAAAATGCATTAGGCATTGGTCATGCATTATTGTATTGAGATAAGGAGCTCGTCTCTACCCACTCAATGTGCTTATTTTTCCTTTGTAAATTTGTACGATATATTCTTATCATCAAAGATATTGTTGTAAACATGGATTATGTGGATAATGCATCAAATCTTTCATATTACCTTGCATCGCAAAAGGACTGGATTAGAGGATGAAGATGATTATATTGTGCTGAGATTAATTCAGAGTAATTTGCATAATCTAGATGGGAGCCTTTGTTATAAACGAGATATGATTGTGTAATTTCAGGGAAGTTGATGAGCTTTGTGTCACTGTAATAGCCTTTGAACTCTTACCATAATGTAAATCTATAACAATAAAACAAAACATGAAAATTTATATGATGCAGTGTTAAAAAAAACACCCAAAACACATATGAAAATCAAAACATTATTTACACTATCCTCTCCTGTAATAGTATGCTTGTGAACGTGGAAAGTATGATTAAAGCTCAAAAGAATTTCATAACAGATAACAATATCAAAATAACATATAAATTAAAATAACAAGTTTCAAGATATAAAGAAAAATTGAAGGTATAAACCATGGTACAAATGGTGGAAACTAGAATTTAAATTTTTCACATTGATATATCAGTAGAAAGATAATCATGATGGTCGAATACAATTTTGGATGAAGAAGTTCAATGCCGAGTGCTGAGTGCAGTGGAAGCAGGGGAATTAAGCCAAAAATATGTTTTCAGTTTTTTCTTGTAGCTTTTATTAAAGATAAACTCCAGTACTGGTAAAAAAAAAAAAATTAATTCTCACAGAATCAAACGAAACTTACACTGAATGTTCAAGATTACAAATAAATGACATGTGCCAAACAATTTTGGAAGAAAATGTATACTGGCTGAGTAATGAGCATAGAAAGACAAGGAAACCAAGGTAGTACCATCCCCGACACGATGTGTGTTGTCCCATATATAGCTTTCTATGTGAGTGTTTGTTACTTTACCAAGACTCGGTCAAATTTATTATGATTTTGATGACTCCAGAACCTTGCAGTGCACACCAATACTTACATGCTACATGATCAACTGTTTCTGATCCTTTCACACCTTTTCTTTCACAATGCAATCGCATTACCAGTACTAAAGTTTAGCTTTAAATGTGACATGCAGGCATTCCAATAATGTAAATCTCTCTCTCTCTCTCTCTCTCTCTCTCTCTCTTTCTCTCTCTCTTCCTCTCTTACTCAATCTTGTTCTTGATCTTTTCTCCTCTCTCTTCCCTTCTTTTTTTCACTCTTCATTCTTCTCTCTCTCTCTCTCTGTACTCTCTGTCTTCTCACACTCTCTCTCTTTTCTCACTCACTCTCTTCTCTGTGTCTCCTATCTCCCCCTCTTTATCTCTCTCTCTCTCTCTCCCTCTCTCCCTCTCTCTCTCTCTCTCTCTCTCTCTCTTTCCCTTTCTCTCTCTCTCTCTCTCTCTCTCTCTCTCTCTCTCTCTCTCTCTCTCTCAATCTATCTTTCTGATGCAGGGGGATTGTGATGTCATCCTATGACCAGCTTCTCCATCAAGTGGAGTCTCTCAAGGCAGAGAATTCACATCTTAAGATGGTGAGTTTTAAGAAAATATTTTAAAACTAATTAATCATAAACATTTACAAAATTGGCTTCCACCTACATGTATTATATAATTAATATTTTCCTGGCTGTACATGTAGATGAGCTACTAATTTAAGTAAGCCTAGAAGACCATGTACTACACTTGAGCTTGGAGATAATAGAGCTTAATAGAAATGTCTTACAATATATGTGAATGCAAATCTTTGCTCACTTATACTTTGTTTAATATAAATGTGCGCCTTGTCAATAAAACTTGCTATCCAATGTACATGTTGTTATAAAAAAGTGAATGAAATCTCGACTGGTTTGTTGCTTTTAACTACAACTGTTAATGCAAGGGGTCCCGAATATGAATTTTTGAGTAAAAAATGGACTTGTTAAACAAAAAGTCCCATGATGAAATTTCCATGATCCTACCAAACCACATTCTAGAACAGTCAATCTTCAAGCGTTACATTTCACAGGTTTGTGGCACTTAAACAATTTTAGCACAGTTTGAATTCAATTTGGAGACCTTATTTTCCCAGGTCCATGCAAACGGACCACCTTTATCATTAGATTTCCATCTAATGTCTTCCCACAGTGAAATGGGGTCATGAGATCTTTTTTATATAATAGTATTAGACTCCCAGGGTAATTGCTAAGCCAATAATACACAGTTTGAAACAGAACAGTTACATTTCTCATCATGGATGGCATGTATGTCAGCTGATGTAAAGAACAGAAATGTTGGAGTTGTTTTGCCTCAGAACTGGTAGCAACTGCCTAGCCAGGATTTTGAAAGATTTTTTCATTTTTTTTTGTGGGGTGGATTATTTATGATAATTTTAAAAGTTCAGTATGATTTGAAGTTTTCAACAGCAGAATATGATACAAATGAATCAGTTAGTCGTGATAAGAGGTTTTGATGTACAGACAGAGAATGTGTTTATTATTTTCAAGCAGACAAATGCTGAGTATATTATGCAAGCCCTAATTCAGGTAAATTAATGACAAATTTTGTATTTGGCTTTGTACAAGTGCTTGGCTTGCCTTGGACCATGAAGTATTCTCAAGATTCTCATTAAAAGCCAGACATAGCAGAGCTACCACAGTAATGACTCTTTCATAAGGCTTTACATGAAGTTTGTACATCTACCCTCAGTGATAACGCTATGTGCACTTGGTACTTCAAGGGTCTCTCAGTTTGGTTTTCATTTTTCATGTTTACAAATGGTTACTGTCTCATGACATTGATGAAGATGATAGAAGTTGACTCAGTTATGCCCTGGTCAACATCTAGATTACCTCCTCCAGGCAGTGATGTGATAGGAGACAAGTTTGAACAGCTGAACCTAGGATTCAGAAATGAACCGATAATAGGGAGAAAAAGGAGAACTACAAGCTCTCGAAAATTATTAAACTGCTCCCCATCTAACAAATATAATGCAACAGTACCAACCACACCACATCATATATATCTTTCATTATGTGTTATTGTTTCAAATATGCTGCAACTTCATGGTGTGCATGTCCCTTCTTTTTTTTTTTTCTTTTTTTTTTTGTGTATCACTGATATAGATATTTCAAAGTAATCACCAAATTTACTTTTCGTTTCCTCTTTCATGTCTTTTTTTTGTGTCCTTTATTTCTTTATCTCTAGATATTATTTCTCCAATTTTCCATACTAGACTTTGTTGTTGAATATTTTTGTGTTTCTATCTTTGTTTAATTCTTTATCTATTTATCTCTCTATCTATTCATTCATTCATTTGTAAATGAATAGTAGGTTATCTTTGCAAACAACCTGCAACATTGTGCTTGCTTCACCCCTCCCTCATCTTTAAGTACGTGTTCATCATCTTTCTCTCTCTCTCTCTTTCTCCGTTTCTTTGTCCTCCTTCCTCCCTTCACACTTTCTTTATCGCTCTCTGTCTCTCTCTTTCTAGATATATGTGCAAATATTTCTCCCAATTTTCCTTTTCCAGACGAGCCTTCAAGCTTTGTTTGCTCTACCCTCACCTACCTTGCTATGTAATTAATATTTAGGCCATTTGTATATCTCACCTAGTGATATTAAACCATCTGACAACTGGGACATGCCATCATGTAACCCCAATCCCCCCTCCTAGACGGACGGGCAATTTAATATTTCACCGGGCTTGCTCCTCGTTTATAATAAATATGGGACAGCTATGGCCATACCGATATGGATTAGATTTGGGGTGTTACATGATCTGACAATGGCTTTCCCTTCACCTCCTAAAACTCATCATAATGAAAGCATCGTGTTACAGCCCCCACAGCCCTGGCGTGCCCCCCTAAGGAAGCTCGCTTTAAAGGGGGAAGCGTGCTACCTAGTGCTGCCCGGTGGTGGTATGCATGGTTACCGTTTGGGGGCAGGGGATCGTTTTTCATTGCAAAGTAAATATATCATCGCTTTCTTTCATTCATGAGTATCGGCACGATGCTTTCATTGTCTGAGGATTACTTACATGTACATGCGGCCAAGGTTTGCCTGACATTATTAATGATAACAGGACGACTGGTCACTTTGTGCTGGTATTCAATAATTGTCTCTAAAATTGCAGAAGATAAAGAGAGATCGAGAGTAGTAGGAAGCTAGTCTACTGGCAAGACTCATTTTCAACCTTGACAAAATTTGAAAGCCTTGAGCCAAGTCTACTTTGTCAGTCTCTGGAGCAGCTAAAAACAGGGTCTATGTATGGGTTGTAGTCTCCAGTCTCATGATTCAGACTCATATTATGTTTACATCAACAAAGGTTTTTGCCATCAGTTTAGTAGCAGAACTTCATTTCCTAAGAAGTCTATATGTTATGAAGTAGGTAAAAATGGTGCTCATTACTATACAATATGGCGTGTGAAAAAATGTGAATGCAGAAAATAAAAATAAATCAGTGGAGAAATGCTATGAGACTAACAGAGAATGAGGGAAAAAAGAAGGAAATGGAATACGAAGGTTCTCAAAATTCAGGAAAAGTTGAATGCATATTATTGATTCATGACTCACTACTTCCACTTTTTTGGCGGGTTTCGGAGGTTACCCAATACGCACCATCCCAATCCAGAATCCCGCATCACGGAGACTGAATTGCTCTAGTTTGGTAATGAATAGATGCCATCATCATGAATAGTTAATGGATGGTGAATGTGGATGGAGAGAGCCTCTGAGATGTTCTCAAGTGGTGACATGAAATGTGGATCATGCTGGGCCCGGACCGCATCAGGAGTGCATGTTGTTCTGATTTGCGCACGTCAGTATCCTCATGTTGCATGCAGACTTCATGCTGTGCAAATATATTGGCACAATTAGATATCGGTATCTGTGTTAAGGATCACCAGGCCTTGCACCGAGGGACTGAAAATACGATCTTGAATTTGCATCTCATTTCCCGATGCCATGGTTGCGACAGAGGAGGAACATGTCTTCTCTCCTAGCAAACAAAGACAAAAAAATGCAAAATGGCATGTGAGAAGACGATATTTTGCTATGTAAATACAGGCCTCCATCAATGTTCAACAAGCAAAATGCTTGAAACCAGATCACGAAGACTTTCATAAATATTCTCTTGTGTTAATTTCAGTGGTCTAGCACATTGACACTTGAAATGTGTGTTGCTTTCAACCACCTCCTATATAATTGAAGACAGACTTCTTCTGATAACATGTTGATGAATATTACCTTACACCTTGATATTAATGTTTTGTGAAGATGTCTAGACTTGTGTAGGGTGCTCAAGACTTTCTTATTTCAAAGAATATACACCTCCTCCAGGAGAAGAAAGAGCCAAGACATCTGACAAAGAAATATATAAAGCTAAATCATTCTTTTAATCATTAATCAAGAACAAATATTTGTGTCGGAGAAGGAAATTTATTCCTCTCATCAAATTATCTAAACTAACATTCATGCCAGATGTCAACTTTTAATTCCTTGACATCACCAACTAATACATGTATCGTAGTCCTCTTTGCGTTGTGGATTCATTCTTTTGTGCCACTACATTTCTTCAAGTACTATATTATCATGATTTAGTGTTAGAAACCAGGTTGATATGATTAAGAGTAATATGAATGATATGTAAGGCCCATCTCTATTGTCCGATCATAAAATGTATGTAGGTCAGAATATTATACAGTGATTAATATTTCATCCAGACAAATGCGCTGAAACTGGGTTATGAGTTCAGTCCATATCAGAAGAGATTAAATAAAGGTGTATTTCAGGATAATCTAAACTGGTAGTCCTACACTGGTATATATTTGGTATTCATGTTTATCCCCACCACCAATTCTACCCTAATGTAATGGTCTTTTAATCTTCGGTATCCTTGGACACCCTAGTATTCTTAATTATCTGATTATGAAATTATAGAGCAATTATGCTTTTACATTGTATGTATAGAGGAAGTTGTTTATCATTTTGTTTATGAAATTTTCCAATGAATAAATCAGTGGTTAGATGGAAGTTGATAAATTAGTTTCCTCATGAGTTGCACCTGAACACAGTCAAAATAAATTCAGTTGCAAATGGATTGAATCAATGGTTTGATTTTTCTCATGTGTACATTTTCTCCCACATGTTTTATGATCAGAGGGGCCATCAATTTTCAGATTAAAATTGAATTAGTTTAAAAGGCCAATACATTTACAGTTACATTATAATACGTTTATTTTCTAATTTCATTCTTTAGGAGCTGAAAGACAACTCAAGCCAGCTCAACAAGCTGGACTCTGTTGTGGGGCATCTCCAGTCCGGCAAGCCAGGCATGGGGGAGGACGACCTCAGAGCTCAGATCACCATTCACGGTCTTGCCATGACAACGGCTGCTGCCTCGGCAACATCATCGTCAGCGGCAACATCAGGAGCAGGCCCAGCCTCTAGCTTCCAAGTAAACGGTATGTATCGATTGACCTTTACATGAATGTGTCTGAGAGGATGCTGCCAGACATGCAAGGGTAATGAGGGAATGCTCTGGAGAGTATAATGCTCATTTAGAGGGATGTATTCTCTCTCGCTCTCGCTCTCTTTATCTCTATCTCTCTCTCTTTCTCTCTTCCTTACTCTCTACCCCCTCTCTCTCTCCATCTTTTCTCTCTCTCTCTCTTTTCTCTCTTTCTCTCTCTCCCTTTCTCTCTCTCCCTCTCTTCTCTCTCTCTTTCTCTCTCTCTCCCTCTCTTCTTTCTCTCTTTCTCTTTCTCCCTCTCTTCTCTCTCTTTCCTTCCCTCTCTCCCTCTCTTCTCTCTCTCTTTCTCTCTCTCTCCCTCTCTTTCTCTCTCTCCCTCTCTTCTCTCCCCCCCTCTCTCTCTCCCTCCCTCTATCTCTCTCCATACTTATTCATCACTCCTTGTCATAGTCTTGTCCACACCTGATGCGATAACCCACCTTAAAAACATGTTGTACTTGGCCGCACAAAAAAAAAATTATGTGTCATGAATGGCACAAATGGGGTTGGAAAATAGTAGCTGGATGTTAGAACAGTCCACAAGTGTACTCACTTATCTTTGTGTTAAAGATGCAGAAAGTGTTAAGGGCACTTAGGTTGTGTCATTTTATTTGGACTGGACAATATTTTTTTTAAAGGCTGTTTGCGATGTCATGTGCGAACAAGGCTTGTAGTAATCACAGGGTATGAAAGATGTTAAATGCTATTAAGGCTCGTAAAAATGGGGAAATATATTTTAGTTTTATTTCTCTTCTCTCTATGACTCATCGCCATTGAAAGTGAAAGTGGAAGTGGGTTGAATAAAGCCTTTCCAATTGCATTGTACAAGTTCATTGCATGCCCAAAAATCATTTGACCATTGCAGCTTTAATCGAATTTAATTCTGAAATCCTATCTGTATCATATCATTTATTATATACGGCAGGTTGAGAAAAAAAATGCATATGATGTACGCCCAATAGTCTCTTTGCAAAGTGAAGTGTGAAGAAGCATATTTTCAGTTTGGAGCCAGAAGGGCATTAACTCATATACTTTAACAAATTCAACACAGAATAAGATCTTTTATGCTCTCAACAGACGATGTGACTCATAGACCTGTATGAATACAAGTACATGCTGTACGTCAATCAGATCATATGGGAATACAATTTCTGGCACACTTTTTGTATTTGATCTAGAAATGATTCTGTCCTAATTTTTGTTCTCCTAAGTCTAAGAGACTTTGATAGAAAAGGGGAAAGGGTCCCCCTTTTTAAGATGAAAAGGCCTGCCGACGATCCATCCATCAGTCTCGGGTCTCTAATAATCCCTGTCGTATCTAGTAAATTATATTTCGTCATGGCAACCATTACTTATCGGATATCCTTTCAAGGAAAGGGAAACATCGATCTTCCTAAATTTTTCATGATACTTTCGGGAGGGGGTGGTGTATTCTGAAACAAGGATTTTTTAATCCATCCCTGGATGTGTTCTATATATATGTGGGTTAACTTTTCACTCTCTTTCATGGGATCCGTCTCTAACAATTGTATAAAACATCTGTATTTCATATCATACAGGTACATGTATTTTTAAGCAAATCATAGCCTTCTTTAGAAGTGGGTGCTCATGTGTTCTGAAATACAAATCAACCAAGTATGGGGTCTGATTATGAAACAATTCTTTGAAGAAATATTGATACCCGGTATTGAAGACTGCATGGATCAAAACATCTGAAATTAATCGGGCTTCTTGAAGAATTCTTGAAGATCAAATTTTAAAAATGTCTAATTATAGGCCTAAATATGTATGGTACATGTATGAGTATTTTTAGGATTGTGAATGGATTAACAGTTACTTATACTGGCTTGTCACAAATATATATTTATTTGATGCCTTCTTCTCTGAGATGGCCTTGGACAATATATATTCCAGACTAGAAAGATAGAAAAAGAAAATTGTGTGCAATTGGGTGAATAAATTCTGCTGGCAGGGATGGTGATATCGTCACATATTCCTGGGCGTCTGAAATAAACAAACCCATCAAATCCACAATCGTCGCGCCAATCCACCATTTACTTGCCTATTACGGCAACACCAAAAAATGCAAACTAAAATGATGAGTCGGAAGCCGTCCTCTCACTGTCTCCTGGCGTGTTCTAAATTCCACAACTGAGGTGAATGCCTTGAAGACTAATTTGTCGCCATGGAAATTGGGTCCAGGAGTATTAAACAGTAGACAGTTTGTCTGAGTTGGGAGCAAAGAGAGCAAGTAATTTCTAGTGCTCTCGCACTTTGATGATTCTGGAATGACTTCGGGGCATGGAGATATATTATGAAGAGTGTAATTCATATGGGCGTGATGTGGAGAATATAAAGAAGGCAGAGTCTTAAAGAATCCTGCCCTTAGTGTTGTGGCTCGCTCTTTCAATAATATTCGTCATAGTTGTCATTTGTCTTTGAAGGAAGATCAATACCGTGTCAGAGGATACAATGTTGTGATATAAGAAGCAGAAAAGTAAATACTTTCGGCTTCTAGCTTCTAGAAAGTTTGTGAGCTACTTATTAATGTGTGCTTAAAAGGAATTACCTGAAATTTCTTGCAGAGTAATGATTGCACGTATGGTTTTGGTCAATTCTATGGTACTCTTTTCTTCAACCACTGATATCTTGGGAGTGGAGGCAAGCAAATATTCTAGACTTCTACTTGCTCAGTGAAGTTTGTGAGCTTTCATTGTGTTGGAAAAGGAAAGATCTGAAAGCTGTCAATTTCTAATACTGAGTAATGACTACATTATGGATTCAGTCAATAGTTTGGCATTTTCTTTTTAGTAACTGCTACTTCTCAGTGACATGCAGACAAGTAACATGCCAGACGTCATCTTTAGTTTGGAGTGTATTTGATCAGTTCTGCTAATGATTTTCCACTTAATATTGCTATTTTGTTGAGAAATGTGATTCTTTATCTTCATTCATCATCTTTCCCTTCGTTCTACTACTCAAAAGTTATTTTTCATGGTTGTAGACTTGTAGTAATGAATCAAATAATGGCGCGTGAGAAATAGACATCAATCTTTTTGTATAGATTGTGTGAGTGATATCAAAACCATGCTTTCTCATCATGTAGCACTTCACAACATACACTTTAATACATGTACTTATAATTCTATTTTGACTATTTACCTACTTGGTAGCATTTCTTTTTCATATTTTTAAATTTCCCATTATATTCTTCCTGCAGGTGGTGCCATGTTGCCTGGGAAACCTCACAGTTTACCAACATCATTAGGCACAAGTGGGACTGATGGCAACTTAAGACAAACCAAAGATCACTTCATAAGGCATCAAGAGCTTGAGAGAGACAGGTTTGTATTTGTGTATTTGTTTTTTATCTGTATTTGTGTGTTTCTGCTGTATTATCTAGTGCATGTGTGATACATGTTCGATCGTTCATTGTAAGATTTATTCATGTTCATCCAGGTGTTTGAGTTCTACATCATTTTGGAAACAATTTCATCAAACACAAATTATATTTCCTTCTTTCTTTATTACATACACTGTATACTTTCTCATTCCATTGGTTGGTACTCTTTTTATCATGAAATTATCCTTTGATAAAAACAATCATTTTGCTGTCCCTATGTATTTTTTTTTCGAAAAAATTATGATTCTCTCTTAAATCCTCAAAATCTACATCAACAAACGCCCTCCCCCTCTCACTCTCCCTCTCTGTTTTCTGCCCCTTCTCTCTCCCCACTCTCTCAATCTCTCTCTACCCCTCTCCATCTCCATCTCTCCCCTCAATGACAGTACCCCATCTGACAGGTCATCATCATATCCCATCCTCACCCACAATACCAGTGTCACCAGGGATAATAATCCACTTTGTAGTCCAGCTGGTTCAACAAGCCACCAATATTATTTCCTTCTACCCCATTCATCCTAATCATCCCATACATCCCATGCATTTCAATCAGAATCATAAAGTCTGGGAAATGCGTTTTAATTGATTCAAAGTCATGCAGCTGGAGTTTGAAGTTCTTCTCAATCCTTGTATATGGCCGGAGTACGCTGAGGTTTTGGATCTAGCTTCATCATAATTCATCCTTCAGAATCTGTTGGCTTTCTGCCTCGAGGAATGTCTTTCACTGTCATTGACGACGAGTAATAGAAATCACATTATTGTGCTGCGGAATGAGCCTGAAATAATTTACTGGTCGATTGATAGGAAGAGATAGTGATAGATGTAGATATTCATGTAGATGGAGAAGAGAGGGAGAAAACGAGAGAACGCGAGAGAGAGAGGGAGAGAGGGGGTAGAGGGAGTGAAGGAGAGGGGAAGAAAGTTGAAGAGGAGGATAGATGATGAGAAAGACAGAGTGAAAGAGAGAGAGAAAGAGAGTGGTGAGATGATTTTATGTTGGAAACAGGAATAACGAAAGGTTGAAATAGATTAATTTGTTCTTGTAAAACCATCAAGATTCACAGATCTACATAATATATGCTAAGCGTATTACTAAAAACATTACATGCTTTATTCAATTACAAGTTTAATTTGTTTCAATTAATACAAAATCCCTATTCTGTAGCTCCTAATGATTTGTTTAATCGCTTAGATTAAAACCATAAAGCTATGACGCAGTAGCCATAGAGAGAGAGAGAGACCCTGATTAATATGGCATCTGTTTTCCGTCGTCATTAGCCGATGACTCATACAAGACTTCATTAGCGAGCTCTTGGATAGGTTTTCATTGTAATTTGGAGTAATCCAAATGCTTCAGAAACACGACGACATGTACCTCTTTGCTGCCTCCTCTCTCTGGATATTACCAATGAATATTTCATTATATGACCGGGTTAAGGTTGTATATTAGAAAGATCAGAAATTATTTAACGATGAATATTGTTTTGGTGATGGCAGCATAGAACACAGTGCTTTACATGTATTATTCTCGTTGTATTGATTCAAAGTGAGGCAGTGGTAGACATGGTTCTTTATGAATCATCTAGAAATCTATATTGTGAAAATTTGAGTTTCATATGAAATGTTGATTAGGGATCAATTTAGACATAAATCAATTTTGTCTTTACTAATAATGCAGTAATATTGAAAACAAAATGATCCTAAATAATGGCGATATCAATTTGGCCAACATATTGGATAACGGGTAGTCTCTATCTTCTTGTTGCTGTGTTGGACACTTGTAGAGAGTGAGGCCTTTAGAAACTAATGTTTTGATAGCAATTTCGTCTTCTGAAACTCATGAATGTTATATCTTCCTCTTTATGTATGGTTTAAAATGTTTACATTGTTCTTCTGTCAATAAATGTGACTTCCTTCGTGAATAACACACATCATACACATACCTTTACCTTTGACATTGTTCAAACATGCACATTGTATGCACATACTCTGTTGTCTGCATACTGCGCATACTCGCTTGGGACACACGGCAGACAATTTAGACACGCAAAGTACACAATTTTGTGAGGAATTGCGCTGGAGTACGCATTTATGACGCTCTGCTTTCGTCATAAGCGCCATACCATTTTCCCTAGCGCTGGTCAAATCCACTTTTACGAGTGACTAAGCATTTGATTTGATTAAACTGCATGGTCTGGTGAAGCTAATCATCTTACGGGTGCCGAATTTCAAGATGGGTACGTTGGAATCTGGAAGATGGAAGTGAAACACAATAAAAGGAATTAAGAGATTTAACAGGCGAAACCCTAAAAGTGTCATAATCAGACAGAATATAGTTAGGTTTGCATGCCCAATTCCTTGTTAGTGATACTAGTGCATATAACAAAGTGTCTTAACTAGGAGACTGTATACAGAGGCTGTAGTCCATAGATTCTTTACTGAAGCTGCTTTTGACAGCCACAGACTGACAGAGCTAGGTTTAGCTCAAGACTTATGGAATTGTGTTTAAGTGTCAAATAAGAGTCTGTGCCTGGAGACTAGACTATCATCTGGATGAGTGATATTAATGACCAAACAGAATGCTTGTGATTAGGCCACCAGACTGTATTGTGTCCAAAGTGTTTGATTTCATCATATTCCCTGATTTGCTGTTTGATTGATAGCTAGAGATATTGGCCCACGTTGAGGTATACAGACCAATGATTAGACTTGATGTATCCAAACAGGATAGGCTGTGATTTGTTTTCATTAGAGTGGAAGATAGGAGCAAATTTAATTTGTAAGATATTTGAGATTGCAGTAGTCGCCCACATGCAAAAGATACATGTGGGGATATTGGTTTAACTGTAAAAAGTCATGGGGATCTAATTTATATTGATTTGAAATATCTCAACCAAGTATTGGACGTATGTCATAGTTGTACTTGTTGCCTTGATGTATTATTAGAAATACACATTTTGTATCATCCAATTATAGTATCATAATATGCAGGTTTATGTATGTATAGTTGAAATGATACATATGTTCCTTTTAAAGGGAACCAAATTAAAACAAAAAGTATTCCTGCTAGACAAGTCCAAACTACTTGTCACTTACATAACCAGCTGCATATAAGCTTTTATGTGATTGAATTATTTCCAGGCCCTACTAGAGCTTTGATTGAGTAAAATGATAATTTTGATGTCAATCTACACTTTATAATACCATAATTCTTATTCTATATACAATGTAGGATGCTACATGTACATGATCAAATGCCATATACCTGCCCTATACCTCCCCTATAAACAATATGGAATAAAAGTATTCAGAAGTTAATATAAATGGACAACAATGGATTTATGTACACTGCACACATGTCTGCACCAAAACAAGGGCAAAATAATGACCTTTATCTGCACGAAAAGATAATTCCATGTAGATTTTACTCTGCAAACCAGCCCAATATTGTTTCAGTATCTCGTGTAATCTAAAGAGATACAAAGCAAGACATCCCTGAAGGCTGACTCACGCACTCGTTTTGATGTAATATGAAATGGCAGTATCTGCTTTCAGACTCTCCTGGATTGAGACTCTGTATTCATCTAAAATTTTGCTGCACATCGTAAGCAAATATTCCATGGGATAGAAAACTCCTCCATTGGAATTGTGAAATTAGAGAACATGGAAAAACAGGAAGCGGAATATAATCTTTCTCTTTGAAGTGATCTTGAAGATAGCCAAGTACAGGCTTGTATTACGTGTACATTTTAACCAAAAAATGCTATGTTGTACCTTATATTAGCATCTGTTTTCTATCTCGCCAGACAGGGCAGTACACTCTTGGTAAAGAGAAATTTGTCTCTAGTGTTTTCCAAGCACATTTTGTAAACATTTGCTGGAATTAAAGGACTACACTACCTAGATATATTGCTCTTGAGAAATGAGCTACAGTAATACATTTGACATCCTACTTGGTGTTTTCTTTTTTTCTTGGTGCCTTGAAAACTATATAGGTAGTGCATTATGTAGCCCTCCTCCCTCCATTCCCAACTTTAAAAAGAAAATTGAATACATGTAGTAACTTTATCTCTAAACTTTTTCTGAAAGGGCAGTACATGTTAATCTACCCCGCCCTTTACAGAAGTCATGATGGGATCATTCCATCCCATCATATTAGATATTCCTTGATCTTCTGTCACATGTGGTGAGTCCCTGTCAGCTATCGACATGAATATCTAGGAACCCATCACAGATCATTTCATAAGCAAAGCGATTCTATTCGGCACAGCTTCCATGTCTTGTGGCTGTTGGAGAGATATTCTCTCTCATTTAAGTTCCAGGTTTGTTGTTGTCTTCTCCGCGGTTGAGACAAATACAAGCTTGATAGCACAGTCTGTATGTCATGTGACCAGAGGAGATACCTTGGATATTTTCTTTCATTCAACATGCAAGTTCCATGCTACCTTCACTGAGCTAGTACAAGAAATTTCTTGTGAATCACCATTGGAATAGTTTTATTTGACTTTGAAGTGCTCTAGGTTACATTGACAAGAAGAGAGAGTGATACTACATTCTAGCAGGTAATTTTCTTCCTTGGTAATGGTCTTTTTATGAAGCTGTTTTATTGATGTTATGAATAAATTATTGATACATATTTGCTTTTTTGTATTAGGTAAATCTAACACCCTGGTGGGGTTAATATTCTTTATTCTGTGTCATAGTAGAAAGATGTATATTGTCCCTCTTGGTCCATGACTCAGATTTTATAACTTGATTTACGTCCATTCATGACAAATTCTATGCCCTAAGTGGGGAGTTTTCTTTTTAAAGGTCAGTGGGCATGATGGAAAGTTATCTCCCGTGAAACACAATTTGTGCCTTGGAGACCAGAGAATGGAGGCAGTGAGAGAGGGGGAGAGAGAGGGAGAGAGAGAGGGAGAGGGGGAGGAAAAGGGAGAGGGACAGAGAGATAGAGAGAGAGAGAGAGAGGAGGGAGGGGAGAGAGGGGGGGGGGGGGGGGGGGAGAGAGCTGAGGGGGGGGGGGGGTGGAGGTTGGAGGTTGCTGCCAAGGTAAAAGAGACAGGGAGATGAATAAATAGAAGATGAAGAAGGATCTTGGGACTGCTAGAAGGGGAAATTTTGTATTCAGTGTTTACGAGGAGCCAACATCTCCACATATATGTATTATCTAATGCAAAATGAGAATTCATGATGAATTGAAGGGTAGTAGAACAGAGTACAACACCTGCTTAATGTCTGCTGGAACTGTATGCATCTTCCAGTGTGCTGTCTCTGCCCTCAGGCGAATGGATCAGGTAGGAAGGTCCAAGGAGAACAGGAGGAAATAAGACGGAGAAAGAGACAGACAGACAGACATACAGAGAAAGAGGGAGGGAGAGAGAGAGAGAGAGAGAGATGGATGGATTAGGTTGGGAGAAATAACAGGGAGAAAGGAGAAATGAGTTTGGGAGAAATATGCAGGAAGAAGAAAGGATAGATGAGGTGGGGATAAAGATACAGAGAGAGATTCAAGAGGTGTGGAGACAGAGGGTGAAGGAGGGAGGCACAGTTTGAAAGAGAGAAAATAAGAGAGAGGGGGAGGGGGAGCAGAGACTCTGTTAAGCAAGATCCAGTGCTTCCATAGCCTGCAAGCAATGGAATTCATAAATGAATTATCTGTCCTCTATTCCCAATCAAATCACAATTACCAACCCTGGGTTTGTTGTCCGAGGCGCTGATTAAAATAGCCGTGGCATGGATGGACGCTTGTTCGCCCCGTCCTGGTCCTCTGGTTCCTCCACCTCGGCCAAAGAAGGGAGATCATTGTTTGATATTTACAGATGGGACCAACAGAGGTATCTCTAGTGTTGACTACCTAGGTAAGAAAGAATAGATCACTCAAAGCTATCTAAGCAAGACTCTGGGGAAGGAAATCAATGAGACTCCCCGTTTTCCAGTGAAGTGACCTTTGATGTACATGGAGGTTCAGGCCACTTTTTGCAGGATGGTTCTGCTCGGATAAGTTTCAAGATTAGATGCAATGGTTGTTGCCATTCGGGAGTAGGATAGGGAGGAAGATTTCTTCTCAAATGTTAAGAAAACATGGATGAACTTTTTTTGTATTACAAGGATGGGTACAGGATTTCTCGCAATTTCCTGCCTTCGCATCCGTTCTCCTGGTTGAAGGCCTTTTCAGTCTAAACCTGTATATGTATGTGTCCTCTTAGACTCGGAGCATGTCGTCCGCTCAGAGCCAGAAGGGTGTTAAGTTGTATCCTTTTGCAAAGAGTTAATGCTCTTCTAGCTCTTAATAGAAGATACCATTCTAT